GTATAGTGTTTAGAGATTCCTAATCTCAGGCACTAATTAATCAAGTTTAAGGATATTTTCTATATCTTTGAATTCAAAAATAAAGTAAAATTCAAAGATATAGAAAATATCCTTAAACTTGATTAATTAGTGCCTGAGATTAGGAATCTCTAAACACTGTACGGTACAGAAAATAAACTGGAAAATAAAAGACTGAAATTTAAAGTGGTGATCCCCAAATCTGACTTTGCTTTGTTGAAGTTGATTGAAGATGCCTTGCCAAATGATGATCCAAATCCTTAAATATTCTTTGAAGAAAACGTTCAGAACCGTCGCACTGTTTCACCAACCGTTCCCACCAGTTACAGAACTCAGAACTGCCTCTTTCATTGACACATGTCTTTAACCGCCTCGCCAACCGCATAACCCAACGACCGACCAACCGACCAATCTAGATACATAATTGGTCGCCAGATCAAAAGACTCACTGGTCGCCCCATCAAACGACCACTATTTGGTCTCTTCAATCGTCTGACCTATCAACAGACCTTTCTTCGCCCGACTTCCTTTTTCGACCGACCCCCATAGCAGCCAACCTTTGTATCAACCGACCCATTTATCCGACTGCGGATAATCCGACCTGCTTGCCCGACCGCGGACCATCTGACTTGCTTATCTGATTGAGAACCAACCGACTGAGAACCCACCGACTGACTCTGGATACCTTATTATTGTTATTATTATTATTATTATTATTATTTTTTGTGCGTAACAACATGCCTCCTCCTCAAGACTCCTAAGCATCATTTCTTATGATGTTTTAGGAGTTAGTAGGTTAGCATCCGAGGCTACATCAGCCTCATATCCGACCTCCATCCTTTGAGGCTACGTTGGACCCGACCTCCATTTATCGCGGACTGGTGCTGGCCTGGACGTTGGTCGATCTTGCACTACCATTGTATTCAGACTCCCGTCCGACTTATTCCTCCTTTCGGCCACTGTTGTTCTGTCATTCTTTTGCTCGCCTGAAAAGTTATGGTCGGCGACCTGACCCGTGTCCGTCCATTCGGCGGGGTCCTCCTGACCTGTATCCGTCCATTCGGCGGGGTCCTCCTGACCTTATCCGTCCAGGTTACGTAGTCCTCCCGATTTTTGTCCGTCCAGTCGACGTGGTCTTCCCGATCTGTATTCGTCCAGTCGGCGTGGTCCTCCTGACCTGTATCCGTCCAGGTTACGTAGTCCTCCCGATTTTTGTCCGTCCAGTCGACGTGGTCTTCCCGATCTGTATTCGTCCAGTCGGCGTGGTCCTCCCGATCTTTGTCCATCCAGTCGGTGTGGTTGTCCCGACTACGGTCCGTCCCTTCGGTGTGGTCCTCCCGACCATGGTCCGTCCAGTCGGTGTGGTCTTCCCGACCATGGTCCGTCCAGGCGTCGTGATCCTGCCGACCTGTCTCCGTCCATTCGGTCGTCCCTGGTCGGGCCTGTCCTCCTGTTTGGTCCTGTCTCCAGTCTGTCTGACTGGGTATATGCTCAGGAATGGCGTTGTCCGTTTGGGGGCATGACATTTCTGGCGGTGCAGGAACCGAATTCAACATGAATTTTGATTGCTCCATCAAGTTTTGCATTGCGTCATGTATTGCCTGCAGATTTGCTATCTGCTGGTCGTACATTTGCCGAAAACCTGCTGTCAATTCGGCCTGTAGTTGGGAAGCTTCTTCTGCCGTGATAAAGCCAACGGCTGTACTGTGGAATTGAAAATTTGCCATATGGATCAGCAATTTCCTCCCACCGTGGTCGCCAATTTGTTGATGTAATTTTTCAACAAAAATAAAGTAAAATTCAAAGATATAGAAAATATCCTTAAACTTGATTAATTAGTGCCTGAGATTAGGAATCTCTAAACACTGTACGGTACAGAAAATAAACTGGAAAATAAAAGACTGAAATTTAAAGTGGTGATCCCCAAATCTGACTTTGCTTTGTTGAAGTTGATTGAAGATGCCTTGCCAAATGATGATCCAAATCCTTAAATATTCTTTGAAGAAAACGTTCAGAACCGTCGCACTGTTTCACCAACCGTTCCCACCAGTTACAGAACTCAGAACTGCCTCTTTCATTGACACATGTCTTTAACCGCCTCGCCAACCGCATAACCCAACGACCGACCAACCGACCAATCTAGATACATAATTGGTCGCCAGATCAAAAGACTCACTGGTCGCCCCATCAAACGACCACTATTTGGTCTCTTCAATCGTCTGACCTATCAACAGACCTTTCTTCGCCCGACTTCCTTTTTCGACCGACCCCCATAGCAGCCAACCTTTGTATCAACCGACCCATTTATCCGACTGCGGATAATCCGACCTGCTTGCCCGACCGCGGACCATCTGACTTGCTTATCTGATTGAGAACCAACCGACTGAGAACCCACCGACTGACTCTGGATACCTTATTATTATTATTATTATTATTATTATTATTATTATTATTTTTTGTGCGTAACAATAATGATTCGTGAATATATATATATATGTATATGAGATATATTAATTTATATATGTTAATAGTAAAGTAATTTATAATATTTTTATTTATATAATATAATTATATATGTACTAAATTATTTCATAAATGAATAAATTTTAATATAATATTTTCACTTTAATATATTTAAAAATATGTATAAAAAAACTGTAAATAAAGTTTTAAGAATTTATAAATTATAAAAAAATTTGCAATTTGAATGATAAGTCTCAACCTAATGTCATATATATATATATATGATATGAAATTTGATTATAAAATTTAAATAGTAAAATCAAGACTATATATTGCTATATATAATATTGTAATGAGAATATTTTTTTAAAAATAAATAAAATAAATACGTAAATATATGTATACAACTAAAAAATAATTCAAAAATATTTAATTAATATATATAATATTTTTAACTAATACAAAATATTCCATTTTTATAATATAATTATATATATGTACTAAATTATTTCATAAATAAATAAGTTTTAGTATAATATTTTCACTTAACATATTAAAAATATGTATAACAAGAATGTAAATAAAATTTTAAAAATTCATAAATTATAAAAAAATTTACAATTTGAATAATAAGTCTCAAATTAATGTCCTATGTGTGATATGATATTTGGTTATAAAATTTAAATAGTAAAATAAAAAATATATATTGTGATATATAATAATGTAATGAGAATATTTTTTAGAAAATAAATAAAATAAATACATAATAAATATATGTATACAAATAAAAAATAATTCAAAAATATTTAATCAATATATATAATATTTCTAACTAATACAAAATATCTTAATATTATAGAAAGTTATCAAATAGTTAAATATTTAAAATCAAAAATAAAATTTAATCTAATAATTTCTCCATATTTATATATAGTTAACAATATTTATCCAAATATTATAAAATAATTATAGGTAATATATATATATAAAGTAAAAGAAAAAACTTCTTCCATGACAAATGCAACAACTTGTCTGTCAGTAAATATCTTCCGGCATCTAAATTGTATTGTCTCTCGAAACATCAAACATTGTGAATACGAAGTTATTAAATAACATAAATAAATAGAGTAAATTAAAAAAGAAAAAAAAAATAGAATAAAAGATAAATTACAGTAACAATTAACAATAGATCAACATCATGGTGGGAGAAGCTTTTTCAAGTAGTAGCACATTTCACTTCCAAACGTCTTACTTCAACATTAAAAATTATATTGCAAATAAAAAAACAAAATTTAATAAACAAAAAAGAGAAAAAAATAAGAACATGAGTTCCATAGCAAATAAGTATAAATTAAAAAGAAAAATTGTATATACTCACTTACAATAAAACTTACCCACTAACAAATAAAACTTACCCCACTAACCTATAACACAATCAAAAAAACTGTAAAACAAAATAAATAAAAAAAATCAAAAAATTCCAAAAATTTGTCCGTGCATAAATTAGACACTGATCTTAAATATATAATATATAGATAGATAAAATAAATTTGTAATATAATGTAAAAAAAATTATTTGATTTAATTTTTTTTTTTAAAAAAATTAAATAGTAAAAATATACGGTAAAACCCTAAAAGAGCACAACCCAAGATATACTCCTCCCGTTCCAATAGAGTTGTCTTGTTTTTCCATTTTCATCCATCCCAAAACAATTGTCTTGTTTTCTTATTTAGTAACCGTGGTTCCTATTTTATAACAAAATTATTCATACTTTTCCAAACTATCCATAATTATTACTAGGCTAAATTGCACAAAATCTACATATAGTTTCATGAAATTACACAAAATCCCCTATATTTTTAAAACTGTTTCAAAACTTCATCGTGGTTTCATAAACTCTGCGTCTAACCCCTTCGACGGTCCTTATTTAATGGTATTTGACTTAAATACGCTCAAACTGCGAATAAATTTTTGAATATCAATTTCTAAACCCTTAAAATTACAAATATATTCATTTTTTTTAATATTTAGCATAAAAAATAGTAAATATACTAAAAAATAGTTATTTTTCTTAGGTTTTAATAGTGTATTTTTACTGTTTTTTTAGGATAAATATAAAAAAAATAAATATATTTGTAATTTTAGGGGTTTAGAAATTGAAATTCTAAAATTTAGTTCAAATACAGTTAAATAAGGACTGTCGAAGCGTTAGACTCAAAATTTATGAAACCAAGAGAATTTGACATAGTTTTAAAAGTACGAGGATTTGTTTCACGGATGGATTTGGTGCAATTTAGCTTTATTACTATAACCTACTTTTTTAAAAAAAATAAAAATAAAAATATTTTAATCTTTTACCTTTTATTTTAAATAACATTCAATTAAATACTATTATTTCTTAATTATCGTTTTCACTTCCAATAAAATATTTTTTAAGGAAGAGGGAGTATTATTTTTGTGAGTATACCCCCTTACATGCTACTAGGGGTTTGGTTAAACCGGAGTTTACGAGAGTAGACCTTACCCTTATTCGTGTGCGCGAATTTTACTCGAGAAGGAAGATGTGGCGGGAACATTTGCCGCTCGCTATTTGCCCAAATGAAATAATCAATTTAGGGATTTTAGGAGGTTTTAATTAGATCTCTTCCCAAATCTCACTCGCGATCTATTTCCTCCGATTCAACGAAGGTAAATCATTCATCGATCCATGTACGTTGGTGTTCGATCTGACTTAATATTTACGAATTGCTCTGCTTATCGTGAATTCCTCTGAAGGCAATGGATACATCGAACCCGGCGGTTTTTGTGAACGCGGAGCTGTTGCGGTTGTACGTCGGCCGGAGGGTTCGTGCAGTGGTCCAGGTCCTGAGATCCGACGGCGGTGGCTCCGTGATGGGGAAATCAACGGACGAGCAGCAGTTGGTTATTAAGGGCCATCCCCCCGCCCCGCTTTCGACTTTCGTGGAGATTATTGGCATTGCTGACACTAACCAATCCATTCAGGCTGAGATCTGGACAAACTTTGGGGATACTTTTGGTATGCCAAGAAATTTCGCTAGCTAGGCTTTCTGCTTTCATTTTCATGTTGAGCATGTTGTGTGTATCGTTTTTGCTGCTTAATTTCTCTGTACTATTGATTTTGACCTCCTCAGTTGGTTCACATGAAATCGGCAAATTGTCATTCCATTTTGGTTTTCAATATATCCTTTTGAAGGAGAACTTGAAAATTTCTAGGTGATTAACAAGCTAACCTGTTATTATTTTTTATACAATTATGAGAGAATTTTCAAGTAGAGGTTTCATGTAGAAGCATTTGGATGTTGGATCAATCACTGAAACTATGCTATCACATCAGCAAAATGCTTAGATCTAGACTATTTTTTGAATTGAGGTATTTTTGGAAGATGCTTATACATATATATGTTTGTGTGTGTGTGTTACTAATATTATTTCGAGTGGCTTTTATTTTTCAGTGCACTTTATTTATTTATTAACACAATTGTCTTGGCCGACTAAATTGTAGGTCGATCTTGTATGAAACAAATTAATGGTCACATACTAATACTGCTGAACTTAATCCAAAATAATTTTGTGGCATTTGATGCTGGATAAGTAATGCTTAGCTCACCATGTTCATTCTAACATTTTTGTCTCATTTCTATGGCAGATACTACATCATACAACGAACTCTGCAAATATGCCAATGGGGATTTCAAGCACTTGTTTATCTAACCACCCAAGTCGCTGTTTTTTTTTTTTTATGTGAAGTGGAGGCAAGGCACCCTCAGAATTCTTGGTGAATTTCTGTTGGTATAGTTCTTAAATTAGTGCTTTGAACAGCTGAGTTGTAGCGATGATTGTCAGACATAGTCTGGCACCTTAGTTTGCTACAAATAATCATTTTGCTTCGGAAGAACTTGATCGCTTTTGTGTAGTTCTTGCGCTATTAACTTCTGTTTTGTTTATATGTGTGGTTGATGTAATTTCGACTTGGAAACTTTATACTAGTGCAGTTTGTTTATGCATTAACTCTGGCACTCTGTAAGCTTGTCAGTCAGGAATTTTATTTATAATTTTGAACAGCAAGGATGATAAAAGGAGAAATTGGCAGTAACGTAACTTGGAGCTGTAGCTGGAGAGTGATGCACTGAGCAAGAAATTGGTGATACTTGCAATATAGGTTTCCTTGTGGGTAATTTTCTTATCCCCCATGCATTCATCTTTGTATATAATTAATTGTGTGTATCTGTAGTTTGTTGCGATTTAAAAATGTGCCTCTCTGAATTGGGAAGATGTCATTTTGTTCATATTGCATTTTGTGCATTGATTCTGGTTGCTGAGTATCTTTTCTAGTGTGTGTTTGTAGCTTTTAAAATTTGACTGACTCTACCTCTCCAGTAAAATTCTTTTTTAAATAGATACTCTCTCTCTCTCTCTTTTAATGGATTAGAACTACATTTGGTATGGTATAGGAATGATGCACAGGACAGGAAGTTGTACACTGTATATTGCATAATTTTTATTATTTTTTTTCCTCAAGTTTTGTTGCCACAAAGAATTGTGTTCTGATTGTTGCCTGTGAAATGGTTGTTTCTATTGAGTGTGTTGTGTTCTTTAAGATGATTTGAATTGTGCATAAATATCTTGGGCGGAAAAGATGCAAAAATTTTCTACGTGTTGACAGACAATATCAATCAGCATCATTTATGTGCTTTGAAATTTAAGTAAGAGCAAGGTAAATTTCTTATGATGCACTTCTGTAGCCAGCATAAGTTGTCTGGAACGTGTTTATTTAGTTCCCAACACTTTATATGCTAATGAATGTGGGGTTTTGTTATCTCCACTCTCGTTTGTTTTACAGTTTAGAAGCTCTATTCTATTCTTGTGATGCCTCGACTCTTGTTAGATTATAAAACAATAATGTTTTCTATGAGGTGATCTGATAACGTATATGCCAAGATTTATTTGGCCAAGTCCTTATAGATCAACTAGTTAGGCATATTTCTGTTCGAGATTATGACGCATGTTCGATCTAAGGAGCGTCTGTGTGTGGTGTGGGGTAAAAGTAATCTCTGCTTAGATTATGAAACAATAATGCCTTGTATGAGTTGATCCTAAAATGTGTATGTGTATATACACTCTTCTACTTTTTATTCATTTTCATAATCCTAGGCTTTTTCACACTGTCTGGGATGAATATTAATTCCAAACAGGTAAATGTGTGGATAGTGAACAGACCCAAGTTAGTGATTGTTCAAGCGTCTCCTTTCTTCCAAAAAGCCTCTTCGTCTGGAAGCCATTAATCTAAGATTATTGATCATTTAGCTGCTTCGCTTCCATTGATTCAGTCTTGATTTTTCTAGTGGCATCAATACCAATGTTCCTTCCATCTCTTCTTTCTAATACATGGAACTAAGCCATGAGATGTAGTAAAGAGAAGCCACTAAATTGAAAATCGATAGCCGTGTTTGTGTTGTCTGTGCATACAAAGAATGCAGAGCCGAACTCTAATACCCTGTAAAATAATTGCCGGAAGTTTGCCGGAGTCGGACAAATTTCTTTTTAGGCATAATTTATTTTGGTCTTTTACTGTAATAAATTAAAGAATTGAGTTTAAATTAGAAGTAAAAATTAAGTTTGGACAAAGTAGGATAAAATAATTAATAAAGGGCTAGGTATTTATGTTTAATAAAAAAATAAAATAAAATTTAAAAAAAGAAAAGAAAAGGAACAGCAGCAGCATCGCGCCCGTCCGCTCTTCTTCTTCTTCTTGGAGTTCTTCTCCAAAATTCTTCCTTTTGGTTTCTTCTCTTGAGGTAAGTGAGATTCATCCTAGATAGATGATACGTTATAATCCCTATGCCTCTTTTATTGATAATATTATTGTTAAATGGGTTTGTCAAGTGTTACATTTTGTCAATTTTTTCTAGAAAGTTGATTATAATGTCATTTAAGGCTTATGTGAAGATTATTATTGTATTTTAAATTGAAAATCGTAGAATTTATGGGATGGGTTTGAAACCCTAGTTTTGCCCTAACCTAATTATAGTTTTTGGAAAAAGATTTACGATTATATTTAAATATTATAATTTTTGGAATTAGACCATGCCTATTGTGATTGAAATATTTTTCGAATGTTTATTTGGCGAAATAAAGTGAGATTATAACGAACTTGTTGGGTCTAATATCCTACTTTCGCATGGTTAAATGTTGACAATTGAAATATTTTGAGTTTAAAACACCCTTTTTGAAATTTGCCTAAGAGTACGTTGAGTATTTGGTCAAATTGATAATTGAAACTACCCATTGAGTCCGATCAACTCGTCGATTATTTGGATGATAAGGCATAGTCTTCCACCTCTGTGCCTTGCAAACACGCGAGGGTATACCGGTATTTTAGGATAACTAGCTAACCTTGAACTAGATCCTGAATGGGCTAGGTTAGAGGGATCGAGATGGCAGGTTCCTTTTTGGGTGATTCCGAGGTGCCCGTCATTCACGATGAAAAGGTCTTTAGACCGTCATCCGTGATGGAGGGATGGATTGCGTACAATCTCCTCTTGGTACGTTATATTGGAGACTAGAGGGTTGTGGCCGTTTGGCTCCCATCGCAAACTAATAAATAAATTGATTTACGTGTACTTTGGGTTTTGAACCCTTATGTACATATTGTGAAGTTTTCCTTGAGGGTTGTGACCCTATATTTGTTATGTGAAACTATGTGAAACTATGTGACGTGTCATACGAAGTAATAAGGTTGGAAAACCGGGTCGAGCCGGCCCTGATTAAAGCCTAGTGGAGTTTTCTTCGTGATGTATTCATCACTATTATTTGAGAATGAAAAAGAGATATAAGGGAGGCGCTAAAAGACTCGTGTGTGTGAGTTATCCTTATGTGATATGTGTCATCTTATTCAAATTATCTTTTTCAAATGATTTTGTAGCATTATACCGTATTACTTTATTTTCGATTAATTGCGCTTACTCAACCGTTGTCTTGACCCTCTTCTTACAACCTTTTTGTAGGTAATCATATTTCTGTTATACCTAAATAATGCATCCACGTCATATGATCCATCGGGAGAACTATAACTACTTTATCTTCTAAAATGTTTTTTAAATCCATTATTAATGTTTAAGAACTAATGGGTTTTGAACTATTTCCAACTTATGTTTTTGACTCGAACCTTATCTATTTAAATAATAAACCAGTGCGCTTTAATTCTAAATATCTAAATAGTTGTTTTGTAATGATTATTTTAGCGTTAGCGCCACAACGTAGGGTTAGTTGGTTAATGAACGAGCCTTACGGTGTGGCGTGGCGGTGACGCTCCGGTTTGAACCGGCCGGAGTGTTACACAAACCGAACCAACTTGATGATGGGTTGTTTATTTGAACATCATCGCCAGTAAATGGAGAACCTGCAGAGCCAGGATAGGATATGAAAGATACTACACTACGCTACACTTTGCAGGTAATGGAGTTGTGTTTCTTTGTATTGTGGCCCTACCCTTTCTCTTAATAGTTCAAATTGCTATATTCATTTGGGATTTGGAAGCCTAAGTTAAAAGTGTTCATTTCTGCCAGATAGATGGATAGATAGCATATGTTGAAGCATGGTTGTTATGATTTGCTACTGCTTTCTACACACACACACACACTAGATCTAACATTTTTCTCAACACATCTTTATTAACAAGAGAGGAACACTGGAAAAGTTGAATGTCTTGTTCGCATATGCTTACTTTGATTGACTAACTAACTAAACTTGAATTTGATTTGATTTGATTAAATCACAAATCTCCTTTTTGGTGTATAGTAAAGGTACCCTTAGAGTGTGCTGACTTAACTATAGATGATAGGATGGAATTATTTAACCTGTGTGTTAATTAATGCATAGGGGGAATTAGGGAGTGAATAATTCCGTCCGTAGGGTGTGTTTGTACTACATTACATACATGGGATTGTGGAAGGATTGTTTGATCACTTAAACGAGTAAACACACCCTCAATGACAGAAATCAAACAATCCTCCATTATTTTAGGGGTTAGCATTTATTGCAGCTTCGATTAATCTTAGCTAGATGCTATAAGAATTGCATAAGCAAAATACTATCAATTATCGTATTCAAAGAGAATATCATCATACAGACAAGATGCTCTACTCGAATTTACAATGGGACTGACTGAATAATACCATTGTATAACACCCTTACGGGAATGAGAATGAAACAATCCTCCGCAATCCCATGTAAGTATACGCAGCTCCGATGAATCTAGCTAGATTCTAAGCTATAACAATGGCATAGCAAAATATTGAATTCATTATAGACAAAATGCTCCAGTTGAATTTACAAAGCATGCATGCGCTCAACTGAGATATATACAGGAAAGAAATTCATACACGCCAACGATGAGATCAGGGTGTGTTAGATAGCCCAGTGCTTTCATTAATCTTATGTATAAGCAGGTTGTGTGTACACATAACACCTTTGGAAGCATCTAGTCTTTACAGTAGCAATATAAGTTTATTAGTTTGCGGCTAAGGAAATTCAAAAACTAGCGATACTATATCGTAGGACAAGAAGGATGATTGTTCTTGTGCATATTGAGATCTTGAATACAGCTGTGCTCCAAAATAACACATTCATAAATAATTCATGCTTAAACTGAAACATATGAATACTTGATTCATTCCATATTATGTTGACTTCCCTTGTTTACTCCCATTCAACTGTCTCTGAATACTAAACATTTATCGACAACTATATCGCAACAAGCACTGTAGTTCCTAGGTGCATCCTATTCCCAGGATTAATCTCTCATCAATCCTCTAATGTTGTATCTAAATTTTGGAATATCATACTATGGTCTCAATGATGATAGTGTAACTGCAAAGAGTTTAAATTAAAGTATTTAAGCTATAACAATATCCAATGTCATAATTAAAGCAGTACAACATTGTCCACAAGTATATAGCAGCAGTAGTAAGAGTAGTTTACATTTACTTACTAGGTCATAAGAATTGAATACAGAATGAACCCCATCGAGATAGAAAGACAGCCTCAGCCTCAACTAAGGATTGCATCCGAGCTTGAAACAGCCAAGAGTCGACAGAACCCCCCGAGCTGCTACTACGACAGGAAAAAGTTAGGTGAGACAACATTAATCATCTAACAACGATTGACATAAAAATGCTTCCACAATTATAATTATACCTGTGGGTCTTGTCTTCATCTTCTAGAGGAAGACCGAGAGGTCGTCGGGAGCTTCAATCCAAACACTCTCAAACGGGTCCTGTTCCCCCCAGTCATATAACTGCTTGCGGGGATAATATCTTCCATTATCAAGGGAATACAAAACACATCGTTTCCCATAGAATCGAACCTTGGAGAAGTACACATTGTTCCTCATCATCCCTAGAAGATCCGTTCTTGCGTGGGATGTCAACAAGTTTGCAAAAAGCGTCATCCCGCATAAGCTTTCCATCTCCACCCACACTTTACTTGTTTGGTCCAACTTATACACGACCGGGTTCACCGCCGAGCAAGTGTAGATGACAAAAATGTCCCCATTGTGCTCTGTCATAAATTTCCCTTTCCACCAATTCTTGACGAAGAAATTCTCGGGGCATTTCGGCGGAGGCACGGAATCGACAGCCCAAGTACCCTTGTCGGGGTTATAGACCCCGAGCCAACCCGTAAGACTCAAGCAGTAGAAAAGACCCTTGCAGTAAACTAACTTATTCCAAATACTGCTGACGAACGGCAGCCGGTTCTGGTAATTGACGGTGGCCCACTCTGTATCCCCAGGATGGCACGTGCTGACAGCCACAATTGTGGGGCTCACGTGCGTGACGGTGAAGAGGGTGCAGCCGGGCGATGTCGGGGCAGCGGAGAAGGCGACTCTTTGGTAGGTTAGTTCCAGACAAGGCAAATCAATGACTTCCCGGGTGTAGGGGCAGTAGAAGAACACATTATGTGTTCTAGGCTTGTACAGCAGCAACCATCCATCGTTGGCGTAGCAAATCCGGGAGCCCTGGAGCTCCGGGAGCTCCAGCCAATAGGTTTTCCGCTGCGAGGGGTCGTAGAATTCATACATATCGCCGAATTTGGGGAAGAACATGAGCCAGGGAGGCTTGTTGGCCCTTCGGACAGAGTTAGCAACCCTTCGCCATCTCCAGCAAACAGCTGAAGCGCGGATGTTGTCTCTAAGACTTAATTGCGACAGAATTGCTTCCAGAAGCTCCGTCGGAAGCTCGGGCCGTGTGCCGCCCTCGTGCGGCGGAACTACTTGGATTGCTTCGGACAACCTGCAACGGAATGGATTGAACGAAATGTGAATAGGTGGTTGTCGAGATTCAGACATTCTCTGTAAGAGATTGGATTTAGATTAAAAGATATAGATAGACATCAATTGAGGGGTATACAGATGGATTGAAAATCCAGGCATTGTATCGAAATCTGAAGGTCCGATGATGTATCGGACAGACAGATAGTATAAAAAAGATAAAAACAAACAATTCCCCTCGTATCGTGTCTTTACAACCCTAGAAATTTAACCATCCATCCAATCTCACTTTCTTCCGATCTCAGACAAGACTAATAAATCACAAACGTGAAACCATCTCAAAGCGTTCAGTGGGCGAATCGAATTCGCTATCTGGTTCCGATTAATTACGGAAATATCAAATCCAAGGGATTCAAAATAAGTAAGAATTGGAAGAGAGAGAGAGAGAGAGAGAGAGAGGCGAAGTATGCATATAGAAGAAGGGAAACTCACGACTTCATCTTTTTCCTCCTTCGGGGAGCCATAATTAGTTGCAGTGGAGGAACCCTAGGAAGAAGGATGGGGTGGCGAAAGGGGGACTTTTATATTAGTGAACAGGGAGTTGGGTCGATTCGGAGACAAAAATTACAAAATGATTGCTGCTAATGCTAAATTGCTAATGCAATGTACTGCATCGCTCTCTCTCTCTCTCTCTCTCTCTCTCTCTCTCTGAGACATAGAGAGACACAGAGGGGGAATAGCGAGACACGTGTCGGTGCCTTCTGCCACCAGTGAACTTTATTCCCAATAGTGTCTCCAATGCGCTGTTGCCACGTTTTACGCCTCCGTTCAGTAGTGGTTAAGTACGGGATTTTGGAAAAACTGTCATATTTAACTAAAGGAAAGTTCTTTTATAAAAGAAATTTTTGATTTATTTATTTTATGTTTAGAGGTTGTTTGTAAATAAAAATTTTAATATAAAAAATTATTCTCTGTTTAAGAATAAGGTAAATTTTTTGCTTAAATTGACTTTTCACTAGAGCTAAGCATTCAGTTGATTTGATTCGAATCAAATTAAATTTTCAGTTTTGATCGATTTTTTATTTCTAAAAGTCAGAACCGAAATTGAACCAAATTTTGTAAAAATTGAACCGAACCAAACCGTTAATCTTTTATGAATTATTCATAATAATATCTTATTTTCATAATGATTCATGTATTTTTTTTTAAATAAAAAATCAAACAATTCATAATAATCCAAGAAAATAACTACGACAAAAGCCAAATGCATCTTCATTCAAGTTCTAAAAATCAATACCATGTCCATCATTTAAATTCTATAAATAAAATAAGTCTTCCAAATAATACTACAAAACAAGAACAAACAAAATCATACTCCTGTCAATAACGTCAAAACCGAATTTTCACAATTCACTCATCCAAACTATTCGTAGGCTTTCATCCGTGCATAAAAACAAAATTTAGTATATAAGTTCACATATTTTGAACAAGTTTATACAAACTTTTATGATTGTTTGCCTTTCTAACATTATTAACCGAAAATTAATTAGCTTGAGTATAAATTTTGGGAAGATTACGTTATACTAAATAATAAAATAGAAAATGAGAGTTCCAAACTAAAAATTTTCACCTTTTTACCTCATCATAATGGAAGAAAAAATAAATTTCAAACTAAAAGAGTTCCAGTATTAGTTTATAAACATGTTGATTCCTTGAAAAAATATCTTCACTTCTTTACCTCATCATAAACTAAAACTAGCAACACCTAAAAGAAGAAATAAGACAACTTATTAAAGTGAGTTATATTTAGATATGAATGAAGAGAGATACTAGTATTCCATCATATCGATATCAGTAATGAAATAGCAATATAAATAAAAGAATTACCTTTTTCAATAGTTGTTAACATATCCAAATCTTCATCCACATTGAGTACTTTAGTATTTCTCAACCAATCTTTACTACAAACAAGTGCTTCAATTGTTCTAGAAGTTAATGAACTTCTAAAAAGGGTTGAGAACACGTCCGCATAAACTAAATGCAGATTTGGAGGCCATAGTGGAGATAGAGATGGCTAAAATATCACGAGCTATTGAACTATGAATAAAAAATCTTTGACACCTCAACTTCCACCAACTAACACATCAAAATCAAAAGAAACAGCTTCCCTCGCTCAAATATTTTTCAAGTTCAGATTTATTTTCAACATTTTCAGCAACAAGTTCAAAAATTTTTAATCTTGCCTGCGTGACAAAGTATTGTTTCTTCCTTTGTCCTTCCAAATCATGAGTTTCCACTAATCTCAAACTTGATTATCCAGATTGAGATTCGGGTTGAATGGCCTTCTTATACTCATCAAACAAATCATACAAAACATTTATAACATTCTTCTTGAGTTGTAATCCACTAGCTTCTTTATACATGTCTTCCAATGCGAATTCAAGATAAACTAACTTGTATTGTGGATCAAGAATGACAACAATGAAAACCGGGATATTGATTTCATCTGAATTCCCCAATACTGATCATATTTAGCCTTCATTTTTGTAGCCAGAGCAGCAAAGTTCTGATTTTCATAAAATTTTCATTGTTGCAACATCCCTTCAACCTCACATATTTCAACAAAAAACTTGTTGGCAATCACATAAAGAGATCCATAGTAAGCTAATAAAAACATTTAAAAAAATTCTACCAGTGTTCTCACATTATCCCAATTCTCATCATTCAGAACACTATGATTAAATGTAAGCTCAACCAAATAAATTGGATCTTGTCTACTAAATCGCTCAAATGCATTTTGAAACTTTTAAGCAGTTTGTTACATCAAATATGTGGAGTTCCATCTAGTACAAATATCAAGGCATAACAATGTCTTGCTTTCAATCCCTTCAACTTCAGCAAATTTTTTAAATTTCTCCAATCTTGCCGGTGACTGCCTAATGAACCTCACTGCATTCCGAACTCGAACCACACATTGATTGAACCATTTCATTTCAATATTTGCCTTTTCAAGTGCTCAATGGCAACATCATTGGATGATGCATTATCCACAGTGATTAAAGAAATTCTATATAGTTCTCAATCTCTTAAACAAGTTTTTATGAGCATGCCAATATCATCGTCCTTGTGACTTGTAATAGGACAAAAACTCAAAAACATTTTCCTCGACATCCAATTTTCATCAACATAGTTGTTGTTGTCAAAATATCGCTATCGACGGCTTAATCGTAAAAGCCTGTCGGAATTGATTTAGTCGTAGGGTTCCCCAGCATCCTCAAGAAAGGATCCGGGCTATCTCGCGATAACTGAAAAATTGATAAAAAAAGATAAAATAAACAAGAACGAAGCTGAAAATTAAATTGGAATTAACGGGAGAAAACTGTAGAAGTTTGAAAATAATGCAGGAAATTAAAATTGCAGAGAAAATATTAATGCAGAAGAAGATGAATTAATGAATGGCCCTCTACGTCTGTCCACCTCCTTTTCTTTTATTCCCCTAATCTTGTTCGGATAAGGCTCTTATCCCTTATTTTTCTCCAACTTCCCCAACCTCTTCACTTTCAAATTTTGCTTTATCCGTTTCCCCGTTGACCACGTATTTTACTGATCTGGGCCTTTTTATGGACCATATCCCCCCAGAACTGGGCTCTTGCTTGGGCAGGCCCGGTTAAATTTTGGAGTGTACAAATGCTCCCCACAAAATTATTTCATGTAAAATTTGATACCTGGATAATTTTGTACTATCCTGAATCTAGATTCGCGCGCCAACACTTGTCTCGTCTTCTTTGTGTTTCCCCAAAAACTTCACTCCTCACTCTCTTCTTTCCACTCGCGAAAGAAACCCTCACCTTCATCGCTCTCCCTTCAGCTCCATCTCTTCACCGGTGAACTCATTTCTCTCTGTTCTCAAAACAGTACGTGGCGGTTCCTAGGTCCATTCCGACGAAGCAACCAGGCGGCGTTCTCAGCGATTCCGGCGACCGGCTGGCGGAGGGACACTTTCGAGGGTTACCTACGGGTTTTTGTTTTTTTTTTTTCGCCACAGGGGGAGCTCCGATGTCTAGGTCAAAGCCGGGCGCTCAGGCCGGTCGTCCTCCTCCGATGCGCTCCGGTAGGGCCACCTCATCGTCCGGCGGTACTTGATTTGGGCTCGTGCCCTTCGCGAAAGATCAAGATCAATTTCCAGAGGGTTCATTCGACGCCCTCGGCGGGGGTAAGCTTTTGCTAGACCAATCTTGGTTCAATCTTGTTGTTTTTCCTTCCCGTATTTTTCGGCTCCCTAGTAGTATTTCGGAGTTCAAGTCTTGGAAAGATAGATTAGATCCTTTATATGGGGCGCAATGGTAAACTTCGGGCATTCGGGATATGTTGTCTGTGTGTACTGATTTTATCCCTCGCGATAATCTTATGATCAAATCCCTTTTGTGTTTTTGGAGCCCTAGTATAAACGCCTTCGTGTTTCCCTTTGGGATCCTGGCCCCAACCGTGTTAGATGTGGTCGTGATGTTAAGCCTTCGTTCGAAAGAGGTAGAACCTTCTTTATCCCCATCATATAAACCCGATCGATTGCCGATTTTGGTCGCCTATGATAGCAACACCATCGTAAGTCAGTTTATTGCGTCGAATATGCTTTCTGGTCCTGTTGAGTCTTTGGAACACAATGCCTTCCTTATGTTTTGGTTTAACAAGTACTTTGTTTGCTGTGCGTCGAAAGGATTTGTCCGGGAGGTGGAACTGATTGTGCACGTCCTTATGTCTAGGGTGGAGATAGATTTAGCCTCGTACTTCCTGGGTTTGTTATGCCACGACGTAAACGAATTCCTGGGGAAGCCCTCTGTCTCATCTTCCCGCGAACCGGTCGGAACGGGCCCTCTGTGGTTTCTTAAGTTATGGGCGCGGCTATATTTTCCGAATTTAATCAGCCCGCGCCCTGAATTCCCCTCTCGGGCGTTCGTAGCTTTAGGTTCTCATTTGGCATCATATCCCTCTTTTCAAGGCGATCTCCATTCGATCACCTACTCCCTCATACACAAGACCAATCGATCTTCGGCTGACTTCAACCCTTTGTCTAGTTTCTTTACATCTCGTGATGTTTCTATCGCTGTCGCCACCGACTTTTCTAGCTCCATATGTTGGAACAAATGTCTTACTGCTCGCAGTTTAGTCGGGGGATTATCTATAGCCTCTCGATACAATCCCTTGTTAGGGGAAGTTTATCAGCCTCAATACTGCGCACGCCAGTTCGGTTTGGTTTAAGGGATCCCTCTGTTTGGTTATCTTCTACCACCCCCCTTAATGCGGGTCAGACTTTGGGATCGTCCCTTGTCGACGATTAGCATGCTTATATCCTTGATATAGAGGAACTTCCACATTCATCTTATGCTTTTAATCCAAGCACGCTGCCCTCTTTCGACGATTGGTGGGCCGAGTTTTTGGTTCACTCGAATGTGGCAGCTCTTCGGCGGTCCCTGGTCAGTCTAGATGATAAGCATTCAGGTGGTAAAGAGTCGCTTGCCACTGTTTCCGAGGAGGTGGAGGAAGTATTCATATCTTCGGCCATAGGTATTTTACTTATTCGCTATTTCATAGCCCGAAGATGGGTCGTGACCGATCCCTTTTCTTTTGCTCACAGGTACACCTCTTG